CATGCAAACCGTGCATCCAGCTTGAATAACGTGGTTGTAAGATTGGTGGATCTTTTTAACCTCCCTGTCAGAAATGACTGTGATCTAAAGACTGTTTAAGCATTTATTGAACTTGAAGGAATTCCGCTGCAATGTGGTACACAACATACACGCTAAGTCCTTTGTCAGCTGGTGTTAGTTTTTCCTCTTCACACCATTATGATAACATTAAAAAAAATGAACAACATTTCATCCCAAGTTCTACTGCAGTGACAATGTGTGGACAACTATGCCTAAAATTGTGATGCGAGCCAAACCGAGCAGACCTACAACAATAGAGAACTCACGCCTTTAGGCCATTAGAGCTTATTGTACAGAGCCGACGGCATTGGAAAAAGGCTGTTGACTGTTTGCAAGACACGTCAGGGTTTTTCCCACCTCACAACAAGCACAGGTATAAATAGAAACGTGTTTTTTGTACAGACACGTCAGTTCTTGAACTATTAGTGGGTCTGCAGTTATGCAATATGTCAAAGGACTTTTGCATCCACTATTGATATGTATTTTCACCCAACCACACTCATATAAAAGATACTGAGGGCTTTTCACGTAATTAATTCACATGGCTTAAATGGCTGCCATCATTTTGAGCTCATTGTAACTGCACCGCTTTGCCTTTAGCCTGTTCTAACACTCTTTTGGGTGAATATATTTAATCATCGTGGTTACTGTGTTAACAAATAAATAGAATCGGCTGCTATTAGACCGCTTTCCTTTCATGAAGGTTTCTCATAACGTTGAAGCCCAGCAGATGTTGTCCTCAGTCCGTGAGTCTCAGACCACAGCTATATAAAGACAGTATAATTACTGGACCGGTCTGAGCACAGTCTGCCATGCCCTCTGTCTCATACACACACAAGCCACTCATATAGTTTAAGTACGTAGTCCTACATATGCTCAATCAAGTTTGACATTTTGTGAAACACTCTGCTTTCTTGCCTGGAGTTTGACGAGGAGGTTGCAGAGCTCATGTCAGTAGTGTAGATCGAGCTGAACGCACACCGTCTGGACACGTTGAACAAAGTAGACTCTGTTCGAGGTAACAAAAGCCAGGCAACCGTCTTCCAACTATCAGCGAGAATGTGAATAAGCATATTCCCCCAGAAAACAATCTAGTCCTGCTTAAAATGACCGTATTATAATTATATTTTAGTACTTTTTTTGTTTTAGTGTGGGAAGTTTGGGAAATATTGAAACTTTTTGGCACTTCAACTTCAATTTCAAATCAAACTATAAATGCACTCAGGTTTTATTTTTTGTGGTCTGATTGTTCTAATCTTGAACAATTTCAAGCTGGGAAAACAGCTAACTGCTTTAAGAAATGAACATCTAATTTGTGGACTCTAGATGCAGAGTGAAAAACAGTTTTCCCACACCAGTGGTGTGCCGTCATGAAACCTTTTTTATGTGTCACCTCAGCAGTTTTTGGCCGCCTCAAGGTGTTGTAAATTCTTTCTCTCATTCTAAGGTGGATTGCCGACCACCTTGACTTTGAACCTCGAAAGATTTCCAAAATAAGGATTGACATCAAGGCTTCTCTGTCAGTTGAGGGGATTTTAATGAGGGGATTTTAACTCCTGTAATCAGGCCATCTTCCACCTTTTTGTGCATATTGGGCTTTACTGGCTGTCAAAGATAACTGCACAGAGCTTAGGGGGTTTAATCCTGCCTCACATACAGAGATGAGAGGCAAGTCTGGACTCAAGCGCTGCACGTGCCCACGTTGGGGGACGCAGTGTGTCAAGGACGATTTCTGTTGACATCGGGTTCCATTTGATCTTGGAGATTGAATGTTTCTCCCTCAACAGTTCATGCATATCAAGTGGAGACGTTTAGCTCTCCATTAATGATAAACAATGACATTTCCAGCTGACAGTAAACAGTTAGCTTTTTACTGCATGCGACTGTATACACATATAAAAAAATAATGAAAGAGGCACTCATTTGGGAGAATTATGGTGCTGAACCAAACATCCTTTCTTTTGTACACTTCAGTCTTATTTTCTTGCAATATTCCAAAATCTGAAGTTTTTTTCGCCAAGGGAACTTTTCCAATGCTCACTTTCAGGCTAGGCCTACACAAACACGTTACATCATTCCTGCAGCGCTTCATAGTCTTGTCAAAAGTAGAAGGATCAGTAGGCAACTACTCTCATGAAGGCTACACGCATGCAGCCAGTTAGCTTAGCTTAGTATAAACACTGGTTCCCGGGGGAAAAACACCATGCCTGCACTCTAAAAAATGTCACCGTAAATTAACGGTATTTTACAGGCAGCAAAGACGCCAGGAATTTACCTTTATTTTACGGTGTAATACCGTAAATGGTTTTTACACTATGTTACCGTAAAATGGATTACTGTATGTTACCGTAAACGTCAACCAATTTTACTGTGGATTAAATGCACTGGCAATTTACTGGCAGTCGACACTAGTAATTTACTGTTTTATTTACAGTGCCCTACCGTAATATATGGTATGTTGTCGTATATTGGATATTGGAACACTTTGAATAATACAAATATTTATAATTTTTACATTCCGGCTACTGAAATGACAGCGAAGGCGGCGCATGGGATAGGGAGGGTGTGCTGTGCAGCATAAGGTCGGCGGTTCGAATCCTGGCTGCTCCCTGTGCCTAGTTGAAGTGTCCCTGAGCAAGACACCTAACCAATTTCTCCACATAAATTATGTCAAACCATGGGCGTTTTGGATAAAAGTGACAGCTGCATGTATAGTAATGTCCTGTAAGTCAAAGTCATAATCGTATCTCATTGTGATGACTTACAACACCTGTTTTTCAGTGGCTGACATGGGCTTCCATACATTAACCTACAAAAGATGTAGATGGATTGTGATTCACTGCACTTGTATGTGTATTTCCGCCACTTCATTAAATATATGTAACATCCAGTTGAATTACGGTAGTCTGCTATTATTGTAAATTGACACGTTTAACTGTTTATTGATGACATTGGCCACTAATTTACAAGCAAGGGATGGAAATTTAACTGTATGTTACAGTTATTATGACATACTGTAAGATACCGTAAGAAATGCATCGTAAATTTACAGCAATTTGTTACAGTGTGGCTCTGACCAATGAAAACCAATTCCCTTCAAGTTTTAAAATCTGCCCACCAGCACCCCTAAATGTTTAAAATCAAAATATTAACCGAAATGTTAAAATAACAATATGCTAGAACTCTTTCTTGGGAGGGAGTTGCAGATTTCCAGAAAAATGTTTGGTTAAGGACTAGACAAACACGGTGCACATGGTAGTTTGTTTGGTATTTTGCAGGAAAACGAGAGTGATATAAACATTTTACTTTTGGTAAAGAAGCTAATGAAAGTTTCTCCCAAAACGTTGTATATTACTTTGGAACAACAAATGAACTCTTTGTTTCTGCTCTCACTTTCTGTTTCACTTCTTGCCTTTTTATTGAACAACCTTCACCTTTAAACTTAGACTGAATCATTAAAGACTCATTTTAATTCAAGTCAGCTGACAAACTGACCCTTATATCCACTTCATAATGATGGAAATAGATGTCCTCATTAGGAGTGCATAAGGGTTTTTTCTATTTCTGGTCATCTCAAAATAAAGGGATGTGTTAGTTAGTTATCAATCTCAAATTCACTTTTAATCTTCTCTTTGCCCTTTGCAAATGTTCCAATTTTAGTTATTTTTCATTTTTCATTCCATACACAACATAGAACTAAAATAAAAATCAAATCTTCAAATACTTCTACTTTTGTCCCAAGAGGGCTCCAGTGACCCATGACCCAAAACATTGCTACACTGCAGGAAGAATAATAATAGTCATTGAAAAACAGAAATGTAACTGAAGAAACAAAAGCATCCAAGTACGGATTTGATGGGTTATGTTACATGAGGGATAAAAATGTTTCAAATTAGGTGGAAAGGTGGATTGAGGAAACGACAGAGAGGGAAATCTAACGACAAAGAGAAACTAAGCGTGAGAGAAGGAGAGCACAGAGTCGGATCAGGTCGTCTCCGTCGGAGCAGAGAGGGAAGAGCTGCTCAGACCATCTCAGATGCTGACGGATCCCTGACAGGGATTTGTGATTAATAGGGGTTCAGACGCGGGGCACCTCGCTCTTTGATGAAGTGCTCATTTCTCTTATCTGCGTCTGCATCACTTTCACAGAGTTTAGATCAGTTTCTGTGATAACGGCGCCAGCAGACGCTGACAGGAGAGCTTCGGCATTACTAGAATATAATAATAAAATACATTTGCCATGGGATTTATCAGCAGGGTATAAAGTGCAATTCTTATGCCAATAATCTGCCTCATCTCGAGGAGAAACATTCAAACCTTCTGGAAAAAGAAGCCAAGAAGCGGACATTGAGATGGATGAGATCCTTGATTTAAACTGAACATTTGCACACCAGACACGGCCCCATCCTTAAAATAGGTTCAGTTAGTATGAAGTAGGCCACCTGCGGAGCATATTTATTGGCTTTTTATAAATAATATGCGGTGCACATAATTCATGCTATGTGGATGATCTCCATATAGTAAAGAGTATGTGTGCTAAATAATGTTGAGATGTAAACAATAAACATGGCCACATATTCTGCACATGTTATACTTGTTGAAGAGAACGGTGGAATTTAGTACAGTTTCTAAAATAATTATGACTGTTTTTTTGCACCAAGCGACAACTTGAAGAATTTGCAAGCAGCGTATTACCGTTTCACCGCAGCTGTGCGGCGTGAGGACCACGTGGGGACTTCTCTCTGGCTCCGGTGTATTTAGGTTTCCAGAAACGCCCTTAAACCACCGGGGCTGCCAGTGCAGAGGAGGAGGAGGAAGAGGAGGAGGAGGAGGAGGAAGAGGAGGAGGAGGAGGAGGAGGACCGGGTGAAAGTGGAGCGGAGGGAAAGGGAAGAAAACGTCCCACGTCGGAAGCCCGCGGGGCTCGTCCCCTCAGACCTTACGTCAGAGCGCGCGCTTATACAGGCCGGCGGCCCCGGCGCGGCCGCAGACGGAGGCGCGCGCGGTGAGCTGACGGCGGCGGCGGCACGAGGAGGGATGTAAGCTCACCTGCGTTTCAGACGGGACCACAGTTCAGGAGTCAATGCATTTACAGTTCGTCGCCAGTGATGACTTGGCTGCTGGTGTGGATTCTAACCGCAGCCGGGATCCAACAGGTGGGATGGAGGACAGATTCGACTTGTTTGTTTTTGGCTGAGCTCACATCCAGGAGGCGGTGTGAGATTGACGTTATTCAGAAAACGTTACTGTACATTTAGCTGTAAACTCAACATAATAGCATATATTCTTCACAATAAGTTTCATTGACTTTTGACAGTTTTTTTACTGTAAATAATTTAAGGACTTTTTTGGCATGCAAACAGAAATATAGGGCAACATAATATGTTGCTGTACAGTAGGTCTAACTTAAACCTATAATATTATTATATATAATTATTTTTGTGAAGAGGCTTCGTTTTGATGAACGTGAGATGCTGGCAGAGGCCACACTGCAACTTCCACTGGGCGTTTTGTGTTGTGTTGGCGCCCCCTCGTGGTTGTGTAGGTAACAATTCTTCAACGGCATCGGTCTGTGGCTCAGCTGGTAAATACTGGATGCTGGTCAAAACGCTGATAAAACAGTCGTTTTCTTCTGCGATTCAAAGCCATTTAGCAAAGAAATGTACTTTATTTTATATGACTAAATAAAAAGCAAGGTTGACAATAGATTATTACGTATAGGATGTTAATGGCAATCATTTTAGCTGATAATCAAACTTAGTGTGGCAGCTTAACAATGCAAAAAAAAACATTGCTCTAAAATGTTTTTTTTTAAAGAAAGAGAAACAGATGAAATCAGTAGAGAAAGAAGGGTTAACAGAACCCTTAACAGAACTGAACCTTTTCTACTTTTCAGAAAATGAAAAAAACATTATCATTATATGGCCGTCATGTTTAGAAAAGCATTCAATGACACAATGATATTGAACGGTTGTGTTTCAAATATCTAAATCAATATATTTTGAGATAACCCAATAATTTGAGCATTTGTCTGTGCTTGTAGTCGAGCTCAAGAGATGTTTCTCTAACTCATTTAGTGCTGTTATTCCACCCTCTCCCTGATAAAATTGTGCAGAATTGAATTAGGTTCATTAGGCTTACCCCATGTTTTCAAAATGTCCATATTAAAACTTCCACTCTCTTTGTTGAGAGTGATTGACAGCATTTCCTCCCCCTGTCTCTGTTCATTGGCCTGATAACTGTTGGCTGCATTAACTCTTCTGAAGAATGGCTTAGTGGCACGACTCATTCATCTGCATTAGATTTCAGCGTTCTACAGAGTTACGGAGTAATTCCATTGAAATGCAGAGAACAAAGCAGCTTGTAAGAGTCAAAAACTGGAGGGGCGATTACGTTTCATTGGCCGGATTTTCGACAGCTCAGCAGTTGCGGATTTTATTGAAATCTGTTGAGTGTTGAGTACAAACAGTACTTTACTATTATAGTGCTTTAATGAGATTCTCAACGTTTTTTAATGTTGGTTGTACAGGATTAGTTGATTTATCCCACAGCAGGATGTTAGCAGGCTGCCGTGTGCTCCGCTCCCGCCCGCGCAGGCAGTGGAACAGAAGTGTTTGTTAGGGCAGGATAGGAAACAATTCAGGATTAAGGATATTAAGATTATTGCCACGTCACATTAACTTTTTTTGATTAGAAGATTATGTGATTGCATAACGAGAAGTCAATATGCATTTTGTGAACAAAACAATTATATCTGAGTGAAACTGACTGTTCAAACTGCATTCATTTTTTTGAAAGTTGTTGTTGGAGAGTCTGTTTTTTAAGGCTCGGCTTCTCCTACTTTCCCCTTCAGGCCCACTCCCAGAATTCCACTGTCATGCCGCCCGCTACAGCCGCGACGTCCACAGATGCGGAACCGTACAACCGCACCGAGATCTGCAAGTGGCCCTGCGTTTGCCCCGAGGTGGCCCCGAGCTGTCCGCCGGGCGTGAGCCTCTTCCTCGACGGATGCGAGTGCTGCAAGGCCTGCGCCCGCCAGGTGGGCGAGGTGTGCAACGAGGCCGACACGTGCGACTACCACAAGGGACTGTACTGTGACTACAGCTCGGACAAGCCTAGGTACGAAAAAGGAGTGTGTGCATGTAAGTGTCACTCACCGAAAACCGACAAAACAAACTGACAGACGGTTCTAGTTTTTTTTTTGAAGTACTTTTGGTACACAGGCCACACCTCACTGCAGATTTCAAGTAACACGATTGTATCCGTGTAGCTCCCCTGTTTTTTAGTTTTTTTTAGTTTTAGTAGTCTATAATTGCATGAGGCATTTTGACAGCAAATATTTATGTTTAAATCTCTGTTGGCTGCTTTCAATGGGATACCACGCTGGATGAAACCACTTCAAATAGCTGCATGACCACAAATGTGAAGTGGTTTGTGTGACAAACCACGTGTGGAAGGGACTTGGGAGGGGGGGGTGTAGTAGTCGCGCGCTCTGTGTTCGCTGGTGGGCGAAACTGCAGTGCACGGTAAGAGGACAATTGTAAACGTGAAGAAAAACGCCTGGTGACGCGTGGGGAATATGTCAGAGGGACGAGCGCACATAAATAGGAGAAAATCCGGTCAATTTTCAAAATCAAACATTTTTCAGAAAAAAAAATATATATAAGCTTTCTGTGGTGCGGCCCGGTACCAAACGGCCCACGGACCGGTACCGGTCCGCGGCCCGGTGGTTGGGGACCACTGGTTTACATAATATCAATATGTTTTGGAGACGTTTACACATGGGAGATTATATCCAACTCGCTAACATGCAAAGCCTTTTTAGTATCACTGGCCTCAAATGTAGTGCTAAATGTAATATAGGCATTTCATGCATAACATTATCCTATCATCATATCACTGTTGGGTGAAAAAACATCTTCGCCGGGCTGGAAAATTTATTGCGATATTGGCCTGCAACAAAAAGTGTCAAACCACAAAGTAACTTATCTCATAACATGTTTACCTTTTCGTATTCATTCATAACTATTTGGATCACCAATGCTATGATATTAATATAGTCTCCAAAGGTTTGGATTATGCATGTCTGTATAATATGTGACCGCTTGTCTTTTCTCTCCGCCAGATTTGGGGGGAACCGGCTGCGAGCACGATGGTGTGATTTACCGTAACGGGCAGAGCTTCAAGCCCAGTTGTAAATACCAGTGTGTGTGCGTGGACGGCGCCATTGGCTGCGTGGCGCTGTGCACGGAGTCTCAGCCTCCGAGGGTGTGGTGTCAAACCCCGCGGCGGGTCAAAGTCAGGGGTCAATGCTGCGAGCAATGGATCTGTGATGAACCCAAACGAGGGCGCAAGACGGCGCCGCGGCACGCCGTAGAGGGTAAGACACCTCGGATGTGCAGATGCACGAGACGGAGGTTCACAGGGTGAAGTTGGGCTTCGGCTTGCAGGGTCTCCTCTTTTAAAATCCCCAATTTCTATGCCAAATCCCTTAATTTAATTCCAGCCGAATATAGTGCATCACAATTCACAGTTTAGTCTCAAAACATTGAAGCAAGCAGAATCGAAAGGAAAGCTTCAAGTACAGTAAGAGAAAACAAAACGTAGGTGGGTCGGTTTAAAAAGTATATTCTCATTGCTTTTTAAGCATGTTTATGCAAACTCATTCTTAGTTTCAGGAGGCCTTAGAAAGGACTAGGATCTGGAGGATATCATTGTAGATGACAATCTCTGTTTAGGATGTACATGTGTAAAGAGTTCAGAATTGACTTTATACCTTTTCAACTTTTGGGATGTTTCTGAAAAAATATATATTGTTGATTCACATTTCATAGAAAAAGAATGTGGATGGATACGATTGGATTTTAAATGTAGCAGCAGCTGGGTTTTAAATTGGCTGTGCAAACATCCGCAGTTATGTGAGTACAGTCCAGGAGGATCATGAGGGTGTGTGCGGGTGTGCGTGTGTGTGTGTGTGTGTGTGTGTACGTACACAGGGACGGACCAATCCTTTCCTGTTGAAGCCCTCACCCAGTTATGTCGAGTGTTCTATTATTATTGCAGCAGTTCAGCGTAGGGTGAATGTGAAAGAAGATCTCTTTGGTTAGGGTAAGGATATGGATCAGGTCCAGATTACCTACACTGTAAACAAAGGGAATAGAGGGTTCCTGTGCTTCTCTTGGTAAAATATTTCAAATATAAAAACCGCCCTTAATGGGCAGACATTTGTCCAAATCTCTTTCCAATCTAAAGCGAACTGAGATAACAACTAAGTGTAGCAGTTTGTAGACATGATCTATTGGCCTCACTTCCAGCTTCCCCGGCTGAGACCAGGAGCTGGCACAAGAACTGCATTACCCAGACTACCTCATGGAGCCCCTGTTCAAAGAGCTGTGGTCGCGGCGTGTCCCTGAGGGTCTCCAATGCCAATGACCAGTGTGAGCTGGTCAAAGAGTCTCGCCTGTGCAACCTGCGGCCCTGTGAAGTCGACATCACCAAACACATCAAGGTAGCGGTAGTTGTGCGCAATGTCTTGAGCATTTAATTGTATAATAATGTTAAATAGTTTCCCAGACGTTACAACTTTTCTACTACTTCCTCCCCCATCAGCCGGGAAAGACGTGTCTGAACATTTACAGGGAAGAAGAGGCCTCACACCTCACCATCTCCGGCTGCACCAGCAGGAAGCAGTACCGGCCCAAATACTGCGGCGTGTGCACGGACGAGCGCTGCTGCATCCCCTACAAGTCCAAAACGATCGACGTGGAGTTTGAGTGTCCTAACGGTTCAGCGTTCACCTGGCAGATGCTGTGGGTCCAGGCCTGCTTCTGCAACCTCAGCTGCAGAAACCCCAACGACATCTTCGCCGGGCTGGAGAACTACTACGGTTACCCAGAAGTCATGAACTAACGGGTGGCAGTGCCGCTTCTTTCTGTTACGCAGTGATGTGTGTGATTACGTAGAAGGGATTTTGTGACCGTCTTTTTTTTCCTATTGGAAAAATTGGTAAATATGAAAAATGTGTTTCCAGTTTGGATGCCGAAAGCATTTATTACAACAGCGCTTTTGAAGAATATTTGGAGCACTGCTTTGAAAAGGCGAAGATATTCTGTCCATGATATAGTGAAGGCTTAATTTATTTATCCATCTTTTTGCATGTGAAATAACATGTTCCTAATAAGTAAAGGCTTACTAGATACCTTCAGATTGACTTCATAAGAAATGTTGGTGAGACAGAAGTTGACCGAGGGGACAAAGACAGCCCGTTTTAGGACAAATATCAAATCACAGAATCAGGAAAGATCAGTTACATGTTTTTTTTATTGTGTTTTTTTTTTTAATAAATACAAACTGTTATGTCACTTAAATGCTTTTATAGAGCATTAGACGGCTGTACGTCACATCTTTACAAAGCTGTGTATGTGTGTTCTCCAAAGCTAAATGTCGCTGTAGTGCAAGTAAAATATGGGAGACGGTGTCGGGTAAGTTCTATGGTTATACGCATGTTAATGTGGAACCATCATGTCACTCACCCAAAAGTCCACAAGTAGGAGCATCCGGTCTAAAAATAAAATAAAAATATAACATTTCTATGGCACGCCTTTGTTCCATTGTGCTTCGTTGCATTGAATTGTCATAAAGGGAAAATAAAAATTGAAAAAAGTATATCTGAAGACATGATTCATTAATAAAGCATACAATGTAAAAAGCTAGGAATGTTTTCTTCTTCATGACAAAGCATAACGCCTTATTGGAATGTACTAAAAATAATCATGAGTCCTTTTGAATAGTTGCATCATTGGAAAATAAGAAATGTAAATGATGTTTGTGAAAATTATATTTTGGCATTGTGAATCAATATTTGCGGTATAAAAATGTGTGTCCCTTGATTTTCAAAGGTCTATCACAATTGAGAAATCTGGCATTTTTAATCAATCAAGTGCCTCCGTATTCTACAATTCTGCTCCCACACACAGACAACACTTCATACATGGAAGAAAAAAAAAAAAAAAAAAAGAATGATTAAACAATTACAGTGAGAATACAAGTCATTTACAGTCAGCTAGATTAAAGACAGCTGTGTCAATACGGTAAAAATGGGGAATGCAGGAATGAAGAAATTAAACATTTTTAATATGCATGAGACACACATGTACAAGGTGGTGTACTCTGCCACAACTTTCTCCCAACATACTCTGGTGGCCCAAGATACCGCGGTGCCCCCAAACTACACATACACACAACCAGGGAGCAAAATGAATCATAACATGTGAGAATCCCTCAGAATGACTAAACAGGCAGTTCACTCGGACCTTTTAATTACCGGGTAAGCCATCTTACTGCCCCTCTCCACATCTGTGTGTGTGTGTCGAATTAGAGGCACCGCAGCAAAGCCAAAGGAACCACGAGTGGGTCAGGGGGCGCTGAAGAGCGACGGTTCACTCAACAGGACACCTCGGTCGACTTGGGCACGGCTTGGTCCACGTTGCTGTTGGCCGAGCCGTCCATGGAGCCGCCCGTGTGCGAGCGGCCGCGCTGGTTCTCCGTCGTGTGGCTGCGGCTGCGGTTGCCCTCGTTGGTGTGAGAGCGAGAGCGGTTGCCGTCGTGCGTGTGCGAGCGGGAGCGGTTGCCCTCGAAGGAGGTGACGCTGGAGCCGGAGGCCGTGCGGGAGCGGGCCAGGCGGGTCATGCTGGCAGAGGGCACTGAGGGCACAGGAGCATTCAGTAAAATAAATGCAGCTTTGAATACAGATTATTCTCGTAAAAAAAAAAAAAAAAAAAAAAAAAAACTAACACATTTTATTTGTTCAGATTTGTTAAATATTTATGTATCAGTAACTAATACTAGAATATTATTTTACATAGTTTTGAATGCCACAATCTTACGCGAGCGGTGCTAATTATAGTCAGTTTACTTTTTCCCCTGCACATTCTGTAGTAGAATAAACATCTGGAATTGACCGTAGGTTGAAGTGATAACGAGTCATTTATTAACCAAGTGGTGTGGAGGAGAATGTAGTTGAACTCTGCACAAAAACGTACCTTTTTTTTTTAAATGCATAAAACTTCATTCCTGTGCAAGTGCAATTGTATCAAGTAAAAGCCCTCAGTGTGGTGAATACTTACTGTATCCCATGCCCTGAATGAAGTACTTGAAAGCCTCGGTCAGTTTGGCCGGCTGTAGAGAGAAAAATGATCCCGTCATTAATTATCACGCTTGCTCACAAAACATTGACAAACAGAATCTGTCATCCGTCATCAGGGGCTCGGATATGACAGTCGCTATGAGCAGGTGGGGCGCAGGATTACAACCTGGCAACGGTTGTTCATTTTAGCCACTTGGTAATGCTCTTAAGTGAAACCTTCTTACGTTATCCACCGGCCCACCTGACCCTTCTGCGGCGATTATCCGGCCCCGCCCTGCCCGCTCTACGCCGTCGCACAAACACAGACATACACACCTGGTCAACCTGAGGCATCCCTCCACAGTCAGCCATCTGGAGAGAGAGAGGGGACAAAGAGGCCATTAGCATGTTGTTACCACCAATAAGTGGACCTCTAGACCCGGAGCAGTTAACCCTGATAAACTGGGCCCCATTTCGGCCGTAGCAGCCATTTGGTTTTTACGATTTGGTGGATCGTAAAAGGCTGCCGGGGGGGAGGGATGGGGGGGCAAACACAAGTAGGTCAGTTCAGCAGATTGTGTCCTCCGAGGCGATACGCCACGCACGTCGCCCCTGAGGGCACGTTCAGCTTTCCTGCCCCTGGTTAATATGTCTCCAGGTAAATGCTGAACCCCTGGAATCTAATCAGCCGGTGCATTTCCATCATGGCTGTTATCGTTTGAACAGGGACATGTGACCGAGGCGGCGTGGCGGGTCTGCGTACCTTCAGCAGCGTGGTCTTTGTGGGGTCCAGCTTGGTGTTGCACTCAACCTAGGAGTACAAAACAAACTATTCAGTAACGTACCGTATGAAATTAGTAATAATTTGCGGTCTGAATACAGAAGTAATTGTCGGCTACAGCTCCTAAATAAGACGACGTATGATTTATGGCGCCTCCTTGAGCTAAAAGCAATAACACTCCCAAAAGTCCTTCAGCTTTAACAGATTAAAAGTACTCTATACAACTTGATTTTGGTTTTACAACTTTGTTGTTTTTCCCAAGTGGAGTTCTACAGTTGTCCTTCAGCATTTAATCTTATTGGGCTTTGACTGGAGGGAACGGAAAAACACAACCTGGACAAGTTGTCTGGGTTAATGGTGGTGGGAAACAGTCATTAGCATCGGAGGTTTGTTTTTAAACGGCAGAGATTGCGCCTCTACTCACCACGGCCTCCACAGCAGGAGAGGTGTCGCCAACCACCAGCAGTGAAGGGCACCTGCAAAAACGCAGACGAATACGTGTCGAATCCGCACTGGAGAGAAGTCCTATTTAGTTTGACACTGCGGTTTGAATGACGAGGACTTACTTGAGGGTTCTGAAGATGCCTCCAGGGATCGGCCTCTCAATCTCCAGATCCCTCCGACTGTCAAAAACAGACTTCGGTTAAGATAATCCTCCCATTTCTGTGAATTAAAGCTACAATTTGCCAACTTAGTAGCAGCTTAGTTTGTGCTTTACAGTCCGTTGACATTGATGCATTTCACTTACCTTTCGTAGGACTTGATAAACAGATGCAGGTTGAACTGGTTCATATCATTTGCGATGTGCTGGCGGTATGTTCCGATCAGGTCGTGGTTGTGGTGGATCTCCTCCTAAAGGCAACCAAACCAAAAATAGGTTTTAAATCACAGAGACCTTGAGAAATTGTCACACGGCCCTTTAAAAAAGGAAAATAAAGTAAATGTACCTTTCCAAAGAGGTGGGTGATGATCATGTCAGGCATGGCATGGGTCCAGCCGCTGATCTGAATTGGGACATTCGCTCATTTTAGCTTTAATACGGGGTTTGTATTTATGTCGGCCGCGAGTCAAAAATCCACACTTTTCAATTTGCTTCTGGCAACGTTTTAGTCTTTAGACTTTTTTGCTATTAATGCGCGTTACCTTGTGTGCAGCCCAGTCCATCCATCCCTCGGCACATGGGTTGATGTTGATGAGCATCAGTCCTTCCACCATTTCCGGGAAGTCAAGCTAAAAAACACACAAAATGACATTGGTGAGTCATCGATGCAACACACAATTCTGCATTTAGCTAGTCTTAAGGCTGCCAATGTTTTGGGCAGTTGGAAAAGTTGTGTATAATATTTTGGATGCAGATATATTGTCCCAAGATAGACACTTCCATTTGTTTACAGAGAACGGCTGCAGCAAGGAGTTGAACTTGTGTCTCTGTCCGCCCTGTGTCAACAGAGGGAGACATCCTAGTGTGCACAATGTTAGTTTTGAGCTGGAACATTCCGGAGACTTTTATGGCTCAGCAGGCTCAAGCGACGGGCAGCATTACGTTGCCAAAATCAGCATGAAGACGAAACACATTAGCAGTCTCTGCTAATCTTAAAATGATTAAAACTCATAATCATTAAGTGTTATAAAAAGGGGACAAACTTACAGCAAACCTGGTCAGGATGTAGGCCCCGGCTCCAATGCCTATTCCTAGAACACTCTTCAGCCTGTTGTCAGACAGACACGGATACTGTTAGAACAACAGGTTAGAAAAAGTCCTAAATTTAAGCGGGAGGAGAAAGTGTAAGAAATGCAGCTCAACTTACCCAAAGTGCTTCAACACCAGTGGGAGCGTCTCAGACAGTTGGTCCATGGAAGGGTACTCGTATCTGGAAAACAAAAGCAATATTGTCACAAATCAATGGTTAACAAATTCATTATATCCACCATCTAATCCTTGGTCTATAATGATCTGCATTGTTGATATCAGCCTGTGATAGCCATCTATTTTTCTTATCATGTCGAGACATCATTAACATGAAGGCAAAGTCCCACCATCAAAGCAGAGATTAGGCCCAAAGAGACAAACACCTGTCCCTGCAATACCTTTGTCAAAGTAGGTCGTCTTATGTTCATCCACGGTGATTTACCCGTTGAGTAAAGAGTCGCCGCCAGCTCAACATGCATTAGGTGGGTGTGTGTGTTTGTTTTTGACGGCCTGTTAGTCTCACCCAGTGGAAAAGGTGTTGGCTCCCTCATGCTGCCCGGGGGCATCGACGTGGCACACGGCAAAGTGCTGCATGATCTCAGACATGTCCTCGTGGTTGAAGAGCGTGTCCCAGCAGGTTTTGTCTGGGGAAACGTTAAAAGAAAAGGTGAACGTGGGATACTTGGACTGGTAAGAATAAGAAGACTTGCTTCTCACGACATGCAGATGCTGTGCCTCATCTTGCGATAATTGACACCATCAGTACGAGTTGAGACACTAATTTAATAGATTTAACAGCGAGAAGTTTATAAAGAACACTGAAGGCTTTGAGCAGCACAACAGAGGTTTCACATAGTTGGCAGGCTTACGGTTCAGTCCGATGTCATGGAAGGTCAAGATGACTGGTCGGTCCCCCTTCGGGACCCCCTTCATTGTGCAGTGGATTCTTCCAAAAGGAGTCTCCACATCGGTCTCCTACAGATGCAGAAAAACAAATAAACTTAACAAAATATGTGAATAAAAACAATTGAACAACATTACAAGTAGTACAAGAACATATTAAGGAGATTCCGCTTGAAACTATAAAGATAAAAATGCAAATATAGGACCAAATCAACAACACAAGAATGCTCAGCGATGCATTCAACAAATGTTGCCTCATTTAGTTTTAAACCTTCTTCATGCTATAAAAATCTAATTTTTTCCTTTCAACGCTTCGATTAAGTCACTAAGCAAACCACAAAACTGCCAAACTGTTTTAAATCCAATCTCTTCCTAAAAAGAGGCCAAATATCAGACATCTAAACCCATTCTCCATTTCGCCTGGACGCTTGTTCTACAACTCCAGCAGGAAGCGTCATCCATCAGCGCACTGGAAACATTTCAACGAGGCCTTTCTACACTCACTGTGACTTCAATCTCAGCAACGATCATTTCCATGTCAGAGTCCTCCAGAACCATTTTTGCGGTTGTAAAGCCGCGCTCGCCACTGAGAAGGTGTGGTTGCAGTGGCTCCCCGAGCTATAAGATCCAAGCGTCTGGAGGGATTGAGCCCTGCTCCGAGAGCTTTATAACCCCCCCACCCAACAAGTCGGCCTAAGCCCTCGGGCTCCCATGACGCCTTTCAGGCTGGTCAAAACAACCTAACTCTAGATGGAGAGATCCCTAAATTGGATCAACCAATGTCAGACAGAGGGGCTTTGGTTACCGTGTTGATGGGATGAGTCCATGCGAGTGTGTGACCAGTGGGGAAACACGCTGGATGAATTGGATGGGAACGATATTTCAGGAAGTATTTCCAAAATAAACAGAAAATTGAACCACAGCAGAAGGCCACGAAGAGTTTAACATTAGCTTTTGATGAAAGTCGTAAAGATTAACGAAAAATTCTCCATTATCAGTCAGTGATTGATTTAATAGGCTAATAGTTATGTAATATGAGATATTGCTCTTATGAAAATACGTTTCTATATTTGCAGTGAACAAAACATTTTGAAATTAGACTTTTTGCAATGCAGTTAAATTCCTTTGAAAAGTCTGTGGTATTGTGGCCGACCTGTTGCTCCCCAAGATGTTCTCAAACCAGTTGTTGACTACCCAGGAATTAAAAACATCCACAGAGGCATGCAACCTATTTAGTGGACAAATAAACATCCCAAGGATTCACCACCTCGCTCCACCCGCCCTCCGCTTCCACGGTCACACACACACCAACAGACACGTGCGCCACACAGGCAAAATAATCCTCCAACACAACATGTGCGTTGAGTTGTCAAGTGTAAACATGCAACTTAGTCACCGTCACTCACTAACTAACTCCAAGTCACCAAACGTTGAGGAATTGGCTCCAATAGATAGTAACCATTGCCATTAATACTTAATACACCTAAAACAGTCTGTGTGACACCACAGGGAGTCGGATAGCTTGACAGTTTGAGGTAGAAGGGGCGGCCATTTTTAAAGGAGCGTTTAACTTCATAGGAGAAGCTGTGCCTTTAAAGATGAGCAACTGCATCTGCTCCGACTCTGGGGTAGAGCCCCTCTCTCGTGGGTTTAGGGGAGGAGGTGAAGTAGCACCCGTGTACGCCATTCATAATGTGTGCGTCAATGTGCTGGGGAGACAATAGAGACGGGTTGATGCAATGTAGCTGCGTTGTCTGTCCGAAGTGCATCTCAACGCCATCCGTACACGGGCTGAATTAGCGAGGGTCCAATAAGATTTCCGTCCTGATAAAATCACAGCAGATGAAGAATCACCGCCATGATGGATGAGCCACTGCAACGGCTATGTTGATTAGTGGAAGAGTATTTATTGTTATCCACCACTAGATGGTATCAATAAAGCTCTGTTAATGGACAGAGAATAACACTTATACACAATCAGCAGTTTGAGTCTACGTGATCTTCAAACTATAAAGCTTGGTTAACAACCAGCAGGAACGATAAATGCATGATCTTATTTCTCGTGTCTGCAAACGTACCTTGATGACAAGCTGCAGCACAGCCTCTCTCAAGCCCTGCGAGGAAAGAACAGTCATGAAAACATAAAACTAATGCAATTACATTTTAACATGCTATAATCTAATAAACTGAGGGCGCCATCCTGTCACTGAATGTATTTTCACATCCATATGACCCCTTCATATGAGGCAGTGGGCATAATTTCACCCACACAAGTTGGTAGTCACCTTTAGAACATCTGCAACAAAGAAACCTACTTAACCTGGTCTAATCTGGTTGGGACATTAGAAACAAGTGCTTGGTAGACAAGTGGTAAAGAAATATGCCCATATTCTTACACGCTAAATCTGATTTAACCAGATGCACCCAAGCAACTTTGCCAGGTACAAATCATTCAGCGTCACTACTGATGTGCCTTTTTCCTTCTTTTCCTTCGTTTTTAAGGATACGTACCGGTAGTTCCCCGTCAACCAGCAGGGGTTTGGACTCAACAACCTGGATGTCATCCATTTCAAAGAGCTGCAGAGCCTGGGTGTCAGAAAGATCAGAGAACTTCGTGAGTGACTTGTTAAACTGGTGCGTGTGAGCCATAAAACACTATTATTACTAAATTATTTTGCATTATGGGAGGGGAAAGGGTTTAGTAAAATATTTGCCTTTCCCAAAGGCGTGTTGTTTTCAATGAGCTGTGTCAGAATTACTCAAAACACCCTTAAAAAAAAAGAAAAAAAAAGGTGCGGCCAAGGTTGGTGGTCTATAGCAGGCAAACCGGTAGATTGATCTTTCGGGCGTGTTTTGCACAAAGCTTGTAAAACGACACTACTGATGACCTGCAGACATTCACGTACACGTATGCTCGCACACACAAAGGAACATGCAGCGACATGTGACCTGCACTGACATGCAGACTACACAACAGGACACGCCTGTCCACTGCACACACCACGACACACAGAACGGGATGGTCTTGTAGAGAGGGGGGGGGGGGGGGCGCAGTAGAAGAAATGGCACATCAGTCAAACTACTGATCATCTCTGAACTTAAAACCACGGTGGTTCAAAACGTCTTTGCATTTTGAACACTGAAGCAATCCTTCCCAGATAACATGTTTAAGATTTGGGATGTTAAAAAAGAAGCCATAATAGAAAAACCAAAATGATCTGAAAGGGAAAAATAAATAAGGAAAGGGGGGGTGGGGTTGTAGCAAGGCGTCAGATTGTGCCGCTGGTAATGATGCTGCGTAGCAGGAGAAATGAGAGAAATAAGCTCCAGGCTCTGCATGCAGATAAAACTGGCCAGTTAAAAGGTCTCTTTGTCCAATGACTCCTGAGAGCCAGGGGCCTGCCCTCCCCTCTCCTTCACCAACCCCCCCCTGTCCGCACCTCACACACACACGCACATGATCCTTTTGGCTCGGTTTCGGCTTTGTTGCAGTTGCTAAGTTTGCGCTTTGCTCACTCGTTTGATCGGTTTTGTGCTCTCTGTCGGCCCGTTGGGTCTTTAGAAACATCCTCAGCGGACACCTAAACAACATCGACCTCCAGGACTGCAATACGGCAGTCATAGGAAGGCGGCCTTATAGAACAAGCTTTTTGTTGCAGGGCTGTCTGTCCGAACTCTATGGACACAGACACACACACACACACAGACACACAGACACTCCTCTGAGTGGGAGAACAGAGACCGGAGCCAGCCGGCTCCCACAATAGCACAGAGGAAGAGGAGTTTCAAACAACTGGTTCATTTTTCTGCCGAGCCCTTGGGATACATGGCCGCCGTTGCACTGCAGGCGCTTTGTCGAAGAGGACAAGAGATCCGCCCCCCCGATGAGATTCCACAGCCACGTGAGAGATGTCATGTTCACGGAGTTGACAAATAAAACTACTCTGGCCGTTGCAGATTAGAAGATGGAGGGTACGAGGGTAGCGGGGGGGGGGTAGGGGTGGGGGAGCGCATGCACCAACATAAGGGAATCCTCTAAGCCTATTTTCAAGCCTATTTGCAAATACCATCACCACCTGTTAGCAGCACACAGAGAGAACCTGGCTGCGCAGCCGTCGGAGACAAGCAGGTCACCTGCTGTTTACATCAGCTGTTCTCCAAATGTTGCTGAGCGAAGCCTTCATGTGGAACGGCGTTTTTTGTTTCAACCCAAAAGGACCTAAATCCCGAGCACCAAAATACGAGTGCTGCAGTCTTGCAAATTATTTTGAAATGATTATGATTTGCAGGAACAAAAAACTCTTACTGCTGCATTCAATACAATTCAAATACATTCAAAACAATACGATTTGAATGAAGGGTTGTGTGTGTGTGTGTGGTTCAGTGAGACGCATACCAACTAAATATAATTCATGATAAGGGACATGATGTCTTGGCAGTGCATCTTTTTCTCACAGGGATATTCTGTTGCAGCAGCAGGGGGGGGGGGGGGCTTCCTCCTTAAACTGGCTTCACTCCAAAAATGGTTGGAGTCATTGACAACAGTGACCCGAGTCAACCCTGATGAGTCCATAGTCTTTGTTAAACAGGGTCTGCACGTTGTGATGTATAGTGATAGCGTGTGTGGGTGGGTGTGCGTGTGGAAAATGTCGGGCTGTGAGGAAGCAAAGAAACTATTCACTGACACAGCGTTGGCCTGGCAGAAGTAAGACTCTTACGCAATCGTGAACAGGAAACAGGGGGAGGATACCGGCTCGGAAGCATCCAATGTGTAGCCCAAGATCAGCTGCATAACAAACCACCCCCCCAAAAAAAAAAAAAACACTATACTTTTCTGCAAAATATTTGCTTGTAGAGTTTCACACATTACGTGCCCTTTACGGACGATTGATAGTTACTCTTTCAAGCGTTGAAAACAACCAGAACTCTAAGAATGACCTTTTATATGATCATTGCTGAGCAGCGGACTTGTTTGAAAAGCCAACGTTTCGACTTCAAAGTGAGATAATGGGTCTTGCGGGTTAGACAATAACACCGATGGAGGCCTCAACATAACACTTTAGGGCCACAGTAAATCCAGGAGATATGACACGCTGCTTTAAGCCAGAACATCCAAGCGCAAACTCCCTGCACTCGTTTGTGAGAAGCGTATGTACTGATTAGAGTTGGAGAGAGAGTCTCAATATTGGCGGGCCAGAATCAAGGCCACCCTCCTTCCATATAGTTTTAAATCCACAAGCCTGTGGCTTCCATCTGCAGAAACAATGATTGCTTCCCTAATCTTTAGGAACTTGCGTAATCTGTCAAATCCCTCGTGCTGAAATATCAGCACGGCAGCAGCAGCAGCAGGCCGGCCGGATTAAGCTGTCACAGACCTACATTTTCAGATTGTAGAAGATATCAAAATACGGGATCCCCCACTCCCCCATTAAGTTGGAGTGAGTTTTTGTGTTTGTGTGGGGGGGGGGGGGGGGCAGGGGGGATCACACAGTCAGATTACAGTGTTTTGACAACAACAAATAGAGGAGATGCTTTATATTTGAGCAGGCCGCAATTAATTACAAAACACATTTGATTTCATCTCCATCCCTCCCACACACCCTCATGCACCCTCTCTTTTTTTTAATCGAGGTACACGGAGGCCATTTCTTATGCCATCATGGCTCCAATAATATTTGCAACATGTGGCAAAAAAGGTCCCTGGTTTGAAAAGAGTGTTGATCTTTGATCCGCTCACACAAGTGTGCCTCACCTTACTAAGGTATTTCTTACAACTGCTTGCGTAAGTTTAGTATACGCCTTTAGTATACGCCGCTCAACATTCCCTACAAAAAAAAGTAATGCACTTAATGCAAAATAATGCAACATCTACACAACTTCTGAAATACATGTTTCTACCGAAAAAGAAATTGAACCTAAACAGCATAATTATTTACAAAGTGCATTTCAGTGGAGTTGCACTGCGGAACGGGAATAACAACGTGCTCACACACGCTGAAAAGCGCACAGTCGCTTACAAAAAAAAAAAAAAAGAGAAAACACTGAAAAAAGTGTCATCATTGCAGAAACGTACCTCTGGATTATCTGCGCAAAATGTCCTGAGATCAACACACCGGCGATGGGAATTTCCCAACAACAACAACAAAAAGTCCACAAAAAAAAAGTCGAGGCAGAGACAGAAGTGTTGCTTTGTTTACAACGTGCGGCGCAAGGCGGATGTTTGAGGGATTTTTATAAAGCCTTTAGGGGGGGGGGCGGCCCCGCCCACTTTCCCCGCTTCTCTCTATTGGGCGACAGCAGCTGTGGGGATTGATGGCTGATTGACTCCGTCCAGCGGTTGCACGACGAGGAAGCTGATGACGGCGACGTCACGCGTGGAAATGCTCCCCACCACGCGGACTCGTGATAGTTTGTGAAATGTTTCACCATTTTTGTAGGTTATTGTTTCATATGGCTACTGACAAAACAGTTTAACTGGAAGTAAGATTTTTTTATTTATTTAGTTAGACCAACCCCACCCACACTTTGCGTCGTCAATGTTTCAGTTGTGACACGTTTGCTACTTATTATTATTGATATTATGTGGTAATTCGTTTGGTTCAGCAAAGCTTCTTCTCTCCTGAATGGGCTGCCAGGGTGTGACCGGGAATCCTGGCCTGACTGTCTCCTTTGTATCAAGTGTAGAGCCTACGGCGAACCACGATTCCCCACTCCCCATAACTCATAAGTACATTTCTACACCGTGGCAATCGAGCCACCTGACGTTTTACACACGGGTTTGAACCGCTTTCCAGGCCGCTCGGTGAGGCCACGTGGTTAGGAATGCAGCCATGCCTGCAACCTTGATTTAAGGCCAAGAGAAGATAAGTCTGTACAAAGGGAAGCCCTTCCCTCTCCTTAGATCCAGCCACCTTTCCTTGACGGCCCACGTGCTGTCGTCTACTGCAAGTGAGCTCTTCCCCAAAAGAGATGGTCAGCTATTGTGCGTGGATTAGTTTCAGTTGGGTGTGTGAATGTAGGACTATGCGTATTCAAAGCAGGTCGTGTGTCATCCCAGATCCGCGTGTTTCACCTCACCACACTTGTACTGCGGGGCAGTGGAAATTTCCACACCTGCAAGACGCCGACTGTTACACTGTGGATCTGCATATATGCTTGTGTTGGCAGCAAGTGCGTGAACGGCCCTTGTCGAGATACAATAGCCGCACTGTGGGCTTGTAATGTGAGGCCCACGATAGGAACACATCGCACAATAGGCGCGTTTGAGAGGAGAAATATAACCACTGCGCTAATTCAATGCTCAGGCACTTTGTACATGGCACAACAATTCGAACAGATGGAAGACAAAATGAGCTGATGCATCTGAAACCCGTCATCGTGACATCTGTGTGTCTGCGAACGGGTTCGTGCTTCTGACCCTACAAGTCCGGTTCTTATCGTGAAACAAAGATCGCGTTGGGCTGCCAACTGGGAGAGATTCAGTACGGCACATGTGGGTCAAAGACTGTCCAAATACCTGATAAAACTAGTGGAGTTTCACCTGGTTGAACGAAGCCAGAGCGCCGCAGGTCGTCATTGCGGCTCCTCTTCCTTTAAAAAATACCCCTTTGGACTGAATATGAATCAAACGTTTAAAATACTATGTTCTCTTTCATTCCCTCTCTTTACCATTTTAATCCTACATCATTTCTGCATTGAATGCATGCCGTCATGCCTTCTGGTAGCTGAGTTTTCTATAAAGACAAATCGATTCAGTGGCGTATGAACGCGGTGTGTCCCTGTCGTACCATGTAAACAGAATATCCCCCCCAAAAAAACCTTTCAATATTGAAATTTCCAAGTTGTATTACAGCAGTCGGAATCCTGTATGTCTTCCTTTGTTAGTGTGCCCATACTGTACATCCCCACATAGCTGAAACTCCTGACCCCTCGCAGGTCACCCGGTTGAAGTGTGTTTGAACTCCAGGTGAATGACCACAATGTACGCTGCAAACACGGCAGATACTAAAAAGCGGACAGAATGTTCAGCCCACTGACAGCCGCTCAAGCACACAGGTACATGTAATGAAATGCTGTTGTGGGCTGACATTTCTGACATTTCATCACCTGCTTGCTCCTCGCCTTTATTCAATACACACACACACACACACACACACGCACACCACAGAGTCTTTGTAGACACCCTCTGACACCTAAAGTGACGCAACAGGCTTGAAACAGGCTCACAGTCACATGACAGGAGATGTTTGTACGTAGGGGACGTAGTAAATGGTTTGAGAAGAAGCCCTGTTGACCTCAGTGGTAAATCTTGACAAACCTTTTTGTCAAATTAACATAGAAGTTGAAAAGTTCAACTTTCCAAATGGAGGAAGAATAAATGATTGGATGCGGTCTGTTAAACTAGAAACATGGCTCTCTCTTTATAACAAAAACCACCAACCGGCATATAGGAAGCTCATTATATAACGCGTTATATCTCATTTGTTGAAGTTGTACAAAAACTCAATTACTGTCACCTTCATAAACTAATAAAATATCCCATTTTCTTTCACGTCCACTTTATCCATTTATGCCGATCTCAACAGAATACACTTTCAAATGATTATTGGAAAGCACTGCCTTAGAAAGATATCTTTTTACAGCCAGCACCCAGGCATTTTATACGTATACAGCATGTTATTGTGGTACTTTGGTACAGGCCGCTGAAAAACAAACCCTGTGTGTTTTTATTTGGCTGTAAAGTGATTTCACCAGCAGCGGTGGTGTCGTCTCCTGGGCAATTCTAATGCAACGTATTGCCCCGCGTGACCTATATTGACTATTGATTATCTTTATAAGGGGGGAGTGACTGCTACGATAAGATTGTCTCCTCTTGATGTAGATATGGTTGTTACTGAGTGACTAAGCAGGCTCTGGTCACCGATGTGTAACAGGCGTCATTAAGCAGTAAAGTTTAAGACACATTTGATGGTCGGTGAGCCCGCAGGACAACGGCTGAACTAACCGGACAAAATGTCTCTCATAAGTCCTCCCACTGAACACCTTGTCTCATCTAACACAGTCTTGGGAGACATGCCAACATTGATAAAGACATAAAGATATAACATCAGACTTGTTTTGACGACAGCTCGGTCACGTTAGCTCTGGGACCGTCAGCTGACACATTCCTGAAGTCTGCAATTATTACCGTTTTTTACAAATGACACAAACAACCTTCTGCCTGTTCTACAAAAAAAAAACACACAAGACAAGTAATTTAATTAAAGTGTGCTCATTCGCGCATTCACCCTGTCTAACTGATTACAAATAACCACCAACAACGAAGTCAAGTGACCATCCGCTATGTGTCTTTGATGCTAGTAACCATCCTGCTTTGCAATACAAAGGGAGTGGTGGCGCTCGTATGAATGACCAGCGTGCATCTGAAGAGAAGAATATAAACAAACAGTAACCGCGGTAACCTAATCCTCCCGTGGACACCTTCCCCACTCGTCGCTCTCATATCATTACCAGCGGCACCAATGTTAGAGACAGTAAACACGCCGCGGCGCGGTGCTGATTACTCGCTGCCATGTGTGAATAGTGTAGCAGTGCACCCAGGAATGGCATGTAGATGAGTGCTGATGAGATGACATTTTGATTACACTGGCAACACACCGAGCATGTTGTTACATTGTGCCTGTAAAACTGAAGACCTGTTGTTTCTTCAATGCATGTAGAGATCCTGACTACTTTGAAAGTCATTTCTCTACATTCTAGCAGCAGCAGGTCAGTCTGCGCAGATAATGGAAGTTGGACCGGTTACTAAAGTGGAAGCTGCACCCCACCGGCCTCTGTTTTGATTCCTGAGGAAAACGTGCAGGGCGAGGAAGACAGGACGGTAGCTGGTGGTGGGTCTCCCGCTGCACCGTGCTGAATTTAAACTTAACAAATATGTTAACGTGTGTGGGTGTTCGGCCCACGGCTTGCTTCTGTTCCTAGCCAGTTGATCACAGGCATCACTCCAGCCTAAAGGTGACAGGAAAAGCTTCATCGCGGCTCTTCTCCGGGCCATATCAGAGGTTTGGCCCGTGTCCTGTCACATATGAGGGGAAACTGTGAGCCGCTGCTGTGCCGCAGGTGTGGCTGTGTTTTTCCTGGTCCTCCACACAGGAAAAGGAGTTGATGAACTGTGGAACAACAGGGTTCATCTATAAACACTAGACACAGCTGTTTGGGCTGATGAGTCAGAGGTCAGGGAGAGTTTGATGAAATTGTTTTACCGGATGGTGGTGCGTCGTGGATGAGGGATCATTGATAGAAATACGAAAGGTCCAGGAGGAAGCGGCAGGAACTCACACACTTCAGGAATAAGCAGGCGAGATGGATTTGGGCTACCTTAACATATTAGGGGATATGCCACAATGTGTAACTACTTCTTTGAATGGTTACCCGAGGGGTGACATGAGGTCAGATGGTGATGGTGAGACCATTGTGTGCACTGTGTGCGTGAAGGATGCTTTGGCCGGACCCGTGTCCTCTAAGTTACATATTAGGTCACGGCCAACAACAATTGATTAACAAAGCACGGGCTAAACCATGCGGCACAGGTCGAGGAGTTATTTCAAAGATCGGTGGTTTGTTTTGGTGAAGAGTTGGAGCTCTGTGATATGGCATCGCCTGCTATATGTGCTGTTGTTGATAGTTAATAGATCATTAGTTGGAGACCCAGATAGTCGAATTATTATACAGTGACGATGAGTAAACAATACACTCTTCAAAGGCAAATAGTATGAATCTACAATCAATGTTGTAAATCAAAGGTCACTGCCATGGACCCTGAGGATAAACCATGTCGAAGTACTGTTGACACAAGTTATAAAACGTATTATAGATTGAATACGGTTGTAAAGCATGATTGACATTACTACAGTGATGAGTCTGCGCTTCTTTATTTATTGTACATAGTATAATCACATTTTAAAGGCTGTCTGTGTGTGTAGATTGGAGTTTCTATTGCTGCACATCAAACAGTTTTAGATTCACTGTCTAGCACTTAACAGACCATGAACAAAGTAAATACCACACAGCTTTTTCATTGTTTGTAATGCGGCCTTCGGGGACTGTTATAGAGACTGTGATACTTCGTCTGTGAAAATGAATGAGGTAGGAAGAAGAAAAAGTACAAAAACAACACTGCTAAAATACTCCATTATAAGTTAAATCCTTGTCAAAGTCGTGGTATTTAGAATATTAAAAGTTCGACTGCTTAATGTCAGAAATGACTGGTGCAGTGTCACCCTATAATATATCATATTATTTTTGCAGGCACAATAAAAGAAGGACAGATTGCAGATTTCTGAATCGTGCACATCAGAAGCATTTACTTTTAATAGAACACTAATGTGCAGTAGCGTTCAGATCAAAAAGTGCCAGGTGGCACGTTCCTTGTGCAGAACGGCGTAGACCGATCTCAGAGCGGCATGCAGCGGCTTGGACCCGCCTTCTCATCAATATGCAAATCCCGCAAGTACTTTTACGACAAAGTGTTTTGCCACTGAAGACTCAAGCCTTGTTTGAAAATGTAGATCAAGAGGGAAAATACACTGCTATGAATCAGAACGTGCACAGACGTTACCATTGGCATTGACCGGCTGCGGACGGTTATCAAGACGTTGCGCAAGTGACCAGTTTCTCTTTATCTGCTTTTCTAAAGCCTCGCATTTAGCCACAGGAAATTGCTGAGATAAAAAGATACATCATTGTCATGTACATCAGCTGTGTTCCGCTAATTTCTCAATTAAGTTAGAAAAAAAAGCAATTACAGGATTTGTATATTGATAAGGAGGCCGGTCCATGCCGCTACATGCCGTTCTGAGATCGGTTTATGCCATTCTGAAATAGGCACCTGCCATTCTGAAAAAGGAACCTGTCACCTGCCACTTTCAATCATATTACGAGTCACTCCTAATATGTTTACTGACATCTGCTGAACAGAAAGACTATTGATCCCTAGTGGCAAGTCGGTATGGGATGTTACTTATGTCATTCAATGCTCCTGCCATGCCAGGAGCTTTGTGTGTCCCTCATCTATGGCATATTCTATCTGAAATGACAAACACAGTGATGCAATAGGCCCACAACAGGAAAGTGTGATTCCAAAACACGTGACATGAGTCATGTCTCTCGGTCATCACAGTGGTAAATCCTTTATAAGTAAAAGTATTCATGGGCAAATATTACAGAACATAAAGGGAGTAGAGGATATACAACTAGATGTAAAAACATGTTACCATACCATCCAATGATTAAGTTTTAAATCCTCTGCGTTGGGAAGGACTTTTTACCGCACGGTCCCTGAACGCCGCACATTCCCGGGGGCTCAATGCACACGAACAGTAACGATGACGCGGCGGTTTCGGGATGTGGGCGGTGCTTGACGGGCGGACCGGGACGAGCAGGACGAGCGCGACGTGACTGACCCGACTGTTGTTCGTCGTGCACGGATGTCGACTGGTTGCGTGTTTGTCCTCTGACGTCACAGCACCACACCTTCAGGACACCTCCAGTACTTAGTCAGGAAATTACGGCATGAGAACACGCAGTACAATGAGATTGTATAATCTGCTCTATTTGTTGATATCATTTGAGTCATGTTTTAATATATACTTTTATTTAACATGTCAGAGGCAAATGTTATTGTAATCCGAAACATTAATTAGACAATTATATAATACATGTTATATTGTTAGTTGGTTTTGCTACCACACAATAAATGACGGTATTTTGTTAATCTTTCGGCATTTCTCCAGAGACTCCACTGTCAAATCGAGGGAAATGTTTGAGTCTGAGTGCTTATATGAGGGTGTTTGTCCTGAGTGGAGCCGGGGCCTATGGTGTGTAGCCCGACCTACATGTAAACAAGCTGCTGAAGTCTGGGGATTAGTCTGAAGCCTACACACACACACACACACACACACACACACGTACACACTCATGCAATGGGTCAGTATAACAAAATGGTCAATTATTTTTTGAAAGGAGAGCTGAGGCATATTTTGGTTCAGGGATGAGCTCCAACATCCAACCGCTGTTATGAATACACGTTGGGTTCAGGATCGGTGGGACTAATTTACAAAGAAAAATGAGATAAAACAAACATACACACACTCGGAGGTTAGGAAATCTGAGACACCCGGAGCAATATCGGCCTGTAGAGAGAATCAACTGCACAATGCAGCATTCAAGGGGATTCATGTTGTTGAACCAGTTTATTCAATCTGTAAACACAAAGCAGCAACTGAAGTTAATCCGTCACAGACACACAGACCAGCTCCAGCGTCTCTGGTTGTGTTATTAATGGAGAGAGCCTCAGCTCAATGGGATCAGTTTCTCACCACTTCTATTTTAAATCTGGGATTTGTTTATTTCAAAATGAATCTGTTTTGAAACCTTTTTCACCCCTATAGGAGTAGGACTTAGTAAATACATTTCTAAAAAGGTCCCCCCCCCAAGGATGAATTGCAACGTGTAAACTACACAATCATAATAGAGAAGAGCAATATGACAAGTAGCGATGGGAAGGAAAAGGGGATTTTCTTTGTCTCCTGACCCTCGGTGTGTCAATTAGTCAACCGCTGCATGACTGCCAGACTCTTCTCCATGAGAGCGATCTCTGTCCAACAGTCAGCAGAAGGAAGGACGGGGGGGGGGACGGAGGGCAGAAGGGTCGCATTGCAATCTAGGTCGTGCACCAGTAATCCCACAGGACTGGACTTTGTGGTGGGCGAAATGCTGAGCTCCCACGACACCTCTTCCTCGCCCTCCGGCAAACTTCCCACCTCATGATGGACCCGCAGTGCAAGAATCACATGCTCAGATGTTATCTGCTCGACACCCTTGACCTCTGATCTCTTAGTTATTTTCTTGTTAATGCGAACACAGAGACACTCATTTGTAAATACACCATATAAGTCACAGCCCTTTTACCACCAATGCGCCGTGGCGATGAGATTAAAGATGGGGGGGGCGGGGGGGGCTGTTTATCATCGTTCTTTTGCTGGGCTATAAAATTACTATACTTTGTGAACGTAGTCATTGTCAATTTGACAAACGTTCACTCACTGGGTCAAAAAAAATGATCTAATAAAAAGAGCCACAGTGCCAACAAATGAATATTGCTTGATTTCTTCATTTTTTTGGGGGGCCATTTATATCATGATAATCCTATAAAGTTTACAATTTCACTTGCCTTCAGAATCATGCCACGTCTATACCTCCTACTGTAGGAATTCTAAATACGAACGGTTGTAGGTCACGGTTCAGGTGATGTGGGCATATATTGCAAGGCAGATGCTCTGCAAATAGAAAAGCAAACAGCTCTCCTTTACTTATTTGCTCACCTCAACCTTCCCCTGCTGGTCAGTCAACTCCGCACAATGTCAAGGATCAGAGACCTTGGGAAGCAGAGTTTGAAGTACAAATTTAACAATTTGCAGTACGGTTACTTAAGGCAAGTATTAGATCTCTGTGGGTCTTCAGTAACACCGTAAAACTGTCAGGTGATAAATGATTTAACAAACAAAAAAAAGAAACTGTAGCAGGATGCAGTAGAAAAGCCTTTAATATTTCTGTGTCCTGACATTACTGTATTTTAAGATACTATACTGCCCTCATTTGGTCAGATGAAGACATCAAAAATGTAAAAAAAAAAAAAATGTACAAAAATACTCCATATACACAAGTAAACCGATCAAGTAGAGCTTAAGGGGATTATAATATATATATTTTCTGACAGTAAAATACAGCACACACATGAAACCAAGTGGCCACGTGTGATTCAAACGTCTCTGGTGCATACGGCCCGCTCACAACGCAGTGCAGCTCAGAAGTGGAAGGCGCGCTTTCACAAACGGAACCGGGGAGCATTGTAGGCAAACGTGGGTACGGAGTAAGTGACGTAGCATCTTTGAGGGATGGTGAAATAAGGAGCAACACTGGCTCTCGTGTGAAGGGGGAACGAGGATCGAGTGCACTCGTTCTTCTTGTTGATGGGTTGAGCAGCTCCAATGAGTCCGTGGTGTTTGCTGCCTCCTGTTGAGCAGATGGAAGAACTTCTAGCTGCAGCTGGAAGGAGTAGAGGCTCCTCAGAGTCCCGCCTGAAGCTCCTGCTTGTCCCAACTAGAGTGCGCGTGGACAGAGGAGAAGCTGCGGAGGCCCGGGTGGGGGGACTGTCTCTCTTCAGGAGGGATTCAATGGAGAAAGGGCCGCTGAACTTCACCTCGCATCTGATCTGAACGTCTCTGGAGGCTGCGGGTACGGGAGAGCGGCGAGCCGAGCGGGTCTCTGGTTCGCCCTTGTTGTCCGTCCCCACTTTGGACTTCAACTCTGGGAAGAGCTGCAGGATCCCTTGGAAGTGACGACGCACCATCTTCTCCGTTATCTGACTGGGATCCAGTTTCCAGTAGTTTCTCTTACTGTCCGGTGAATCAGGAACCACTGGAATCTGAAACACACAGAACAGAGTTAGTCATGTTGTTTAGTAACATTAAAAAAAAAGGTAATTTCAAGTTTAAACGTTTGGGTATTAGAACCTTACCTTGACAAAACATTTGCAGCTTGATAAACAAACTCTGATGCTGTTCTCAACAGATTTGCGATCTTGGCGGATTAATGGCGTCAGTCGGTCCATCAACTAAAACAAACATGAGGTAGAAATGAGGTTATTCTTTATAAGACAATCAGTTTCACACCACGGTGTCCCTGAATGGTCCCTGCAAAACACGTGGACTCTTTCTTACCTGACTGAAAGTGAGCATCTTGCCCGGAGCTTCTTGGAGGAGGACAGCGATCTTCGCCAGGTAGGTGGAGGCCTTCATGAAGAGGCCTCGCTGGGAGCTGCTGGCTGGAACGCAGCGAGGTAGCAGAGCACCGAGCTTCTCTGTCCTTCTCCGCATCTTGTTTGTTGAGGAGTCAGAAGAGCCAGGTCCAACACGCCGGTGTGATCGGAACCTCAGGGAGAGCACGTGTGCACCTGGAGGGCTGAGCTCTGGATATAAGTCCTCTCGGCACATTAGTGGGTGTGCACTGCAGCTTAATGGGGACCTTTTGATAAGCAGATGAGGCGTCGTTGCTGGAGGCGGAGCCTCATCTTATCCAAAGGTCCCCATTAACAGTAACAGCCCATCTCCAAAGGGCCATCAGCAGGTACTTTGTGGAGTTCTGAGAGCACAAGCTGCCCTTTTTCTCATTAGCAGTGAAATGATCAGACTTTATGTTTAATCTTTGAATAAGGCAATAGGAGTCTAACATAGACACTAATATTTGAAACATTTAGACCATATACTAAAATAGTCTGTGTACAAATGAACAAGCTAAGCCACTTTACATCTATAAATGACCACAAATATACAATTTAGTCAACTTTTGAAGAGAAAGCGAATTCATAAACACAAATGATTGGCATGAATAACTTCACATGCTATTCTAGTAGTTGGAATACTTTTGAAAAGTGAACTCACAGTAGTGTTCTGGTGAGATGAGACTCACGTTGTAGTTTTCAGCAGAGCAAAAGACAAACTGATTGATTCTAAACTACCTGCAGGTGTGTGTTGCTCTGCATCCACAATGCTGGCTGGTTTTGTTTTAGAACACACACAATGACACCGACATTCCAACGAGCAATCGAACCCCATTGCATCAGTGTGCACCTCCCTAATCGCTGCTTCAAAGTAAACTGTGCGTCCTTTGTCCCACATAATGAAACCGTTCATTTACATCAGTGATCCTCATTCAGATGGATCAACGCGTTAAACTGAGAGCTCTGAAGACCAATTGAGAGGTTGGCTTTGAGGCTCGGGCAGCGAGTTTCCATTTTAACATCACATTTTACAACAACAAGAGAAGCTGATTTCACTTGTGTTTGATTGAAACTGTGTTGCTCACCTGCTGGTCGAGATCACATTGCTGCACCTGAGCAAGATTATAAAGGAAATGTGTCAGATGGATGAAGATACAACCACAACTTTAGGAATGATTATAGACATTCGCTGACCCAGACCACAAGAGATTTAGATCACTGGCAGATGTAAAGTCAAATAAATTTGTTTTTTTTAAGCTTTTGCTAAATTTGTTAAGCCTATGGGCTTTTTAACTTCAAAACATCTTTGGTTTACTTCTAATATTTGTTTTGTGAAACTATCAAAAGACTGTGCACAGTTGCTATTCCCTTCAAAAATCACCCAAAGGCTTTATGTACAATAAAGAAATGCTCCATTCATTGCTTTTAACCAGATGTTTGGTTTTACAAGTAATTTGTTCATTTGTATTGTCTTTTGTTAGTCACATTTTCTTTCCAGAGCAATTCGGTTCAGTGTTTTTTATCAACACAAATATCCTTCATGTTGACATATATTTAACAATCTTTCTAATAGTGTATTTCTAATATAAGCTCATTACTTTTAAATCATTTTTACTGTATGATCATAGACAAAAGTATCTTAAAACTGAAAACTCACTGCTGCTTTAAAGCGGTTAACTGTGTGCTTGTTGGTTGAGCTGAATGTGAAGGAAGGATGGTTGAGGTGCAAACCGTTGGAATGTGACCTGAGACATTCCACTCCCAACCATCTTGCCTGATCGTCCCATTTAAGCTGTTACATTCCTTTATTCATTACAGCCTTTGTCTGTGAGAGCAGTTTACTTCTTTGTCAAGCGCATCGTAATAGTAATTTACATCCACTAATTCACAAGATCTGTGTTCTCTCGATCATCTCCGAACATTGTGGAAAGACAAAATGTTGCTCTGTGAAGGAAAGGCTTGGTCTATGAATAAACGCGTTCATTTGTTGTGTTCTTTTTTATTTTAATTTGAAATAACTATATTAGAGCCTAGAAGGAATGGCCAAAACCAGCACCTGTAGGCTTAACCTTTAGAAAACTACAAAAGTGTGACGACACTGAAAAACCACATTGGTTTAAATTCCTCACACTTCTAATGATATTGGGCTCTTCCCAAAGCAATTGTTTTTGTAATAAAAAAACTAAAAGTGACTTCTTGACAAATTCAGAGATGGTTTTAATTCCACTTCAAAATCTTCCTGTATGGAGAAGACGATGGCGTGTGTGTGCTCGTTGTTTTCCTGCAAAATATACTCACTTCAGGGACTTGTGCTTAATTTCTATTACAAAAGGCTCAATTTACGGGTGGACTTCCAATCCAATGCACACCGTAAGATTCATGCAGGGTAAAAATGCCTTGTATTTAAAGTAAACAACGCTGTTTGGTGGAACGAGCTCTCTGAAGACACCAGGACCGCAGAGAGCCTTCACATCTTCCGCCGCAAACTAAAGACACACCTCTTCAGACTCTACCTCGACTAAAGACTAACAAATTGTAGCACTTAAATTGTACTTGTAACACTTATCTGTAGTAAATTGTAAATTGTTTATTTGATGAAAATTGCACTTTGTTCTTTGTACGGTGGTTGAATGCACTTATTGTAAGTTGCTTTGGATAAAAGCGTCAGCTAAATGACATGTAATGTAATGTAATAGTGTCTTCATCAAGGTTATTGTCACATTTACTGTGTTACACTAGTTAGTGGGCTCTTCTAGATATACCGATATACAAAGTCGTCTATGGATCCAAAACCAGGAAGTGAAAAATCATCAAATACAGAAGAGAAGAAAATAAAAATAACTAAAAAAAACATCCTTCGGTGAGGGAATGGAAGTGAGACCCTTTTCACAACAAGTGAGGAGGTTGTTGCTCCACAGGATGAACAAAGCCCGGACACTTTTACCCTAATAAAATGTGTTCTGTTTGAAGAAACTGCAAGACTAAATGGAATTAATGGTGAGCAACTTCATATTCCATTTTGGTTAGTATTGATTTTGTGGACAAAGTACCTGCCGATGGCCCTTTGGAGATGGGCTGTTACTGTTAATGGGGACCATTGGATAAGATGAGGCTCCGCCTCCAGCAACGACGCCTCATCTGCTTATCAAAAGGTCCCCATTAAGCTGCAGTGCACACCCACTAATGTGCCGACAGGACTTATATCCAGAGCTCACCCCTCCAGCAGCACACGTGCTCTCCCTGAGGTTCCGATCACACCGGCGTGTTGGACCTGGCTCTTCTGTGGGACAGAGAAGCTCGGTGCTCGGCTGCCTCGCTGCGTTCCAGCCAGCAGCTCTCAGCGAGGCCTCTTCATGGAGGCCTCCACCTACCTGGCGAAGATCGCTGTCCTCCTCCGAGAAGCTCCGGGCAAGATGCTCACTTTCAGTCAGGTTAGAAAGAGTCCACGTGTTTTGCAGGGACCATTCAGGGACACCGTGGTGCGAAACGCAGATTGTCTTATAAAGAACCTCATTTCTACCTCGTGTTTTTTAATTGACGAATCGACTGATCTTAATCCGCCAAGATCGCAAAACTATCGGGAGCAACGTCACAGTTTGTTTATCAAGCCACAAATGTTTTGTCAAGGTACGCTTTTATACCAAGAATTGCAACTTCACGTGTCCAATGCACCTTCATTTATTTCAGTAAAACTCCATAACGTCTCTCACTATAACCCCGTTCTTTATATTTCAGATTCCAGTGGTTCCCAAATTCATGGACCGCCGGAGAAAGAATGGTCGACTGAACTACTGGAAACTGGACCCCAGTCAGATAACGGAGAAGATGGTGCGTCGTCACTTCCCAGGGATCCTGCAGCTCTTCCCAGAGTTGGAGTCCAAAGTGGGGACGGACACCAACGGCGAACCAGAGCCCCGCTCGGCTCGCCGCGCTCCCGAACCCGCAGCCTCCAGAGACGTTCAGATCAGATGCGAGGTGAAGTTCAGCGGCCCTTTCTCCATTGAATCCCTCCTGAAGAGAGACAGTCCCCCCGCCCGGGCCTCCGCAGCTTCTCCTCTGTCCACAAACAGGCTAGTTGGGGGAAACAAGAGCTTCCGATGGGGCTCTGAAGTGCGTCCCGTCCTCTTCGCTTCAGCTGGGAGTTCCTCCATCTGGACGACGCTCCACGGACCCCCTCCCAATAGAGCTGCTCAGCCTATTAGCGGGATGAAAATGTGCACTCGGTCCTCTTTGCTGGTCTGCATCAGAGATGCTCCTTATGCCACCGGCCCACCAAGCCATTACGCCACATTCTCTGTACCCACGTTTACCCATGATGCTCGCTGTTTGTGACCGTAAAGTGTTTAATACCTCACAAACCAGCTTTCTGTGGCAGCACTTTATGCTTTTATAATAAAAAGTAAAACACCTCTTCGATGTTTTGGTTGTTTTTGTCAATGGGATTGGTCATTTGAGTCAAGAGGATTCGGCCGTGTGAACAGTGCACATTTGGATTTATCATAGTATAAAAAGCACACGTGTCAATAATGGTTCTATTCAATGGCTCCAGATGGGTAAAATGTGCACTATTTCCATTTGGAGTAGTAGCACAAAAAGACTTTTTGGAAAGCAGTTCTTGAGAACATAAATCACACATGACTGTGTGTGGTCACACTGCTGAATAACAGTGGAGCGCTGATGAGGTGAGAATTACTCCAATGTGGCCATAAGCTTTCTAATTTAAAAGCAGCATTGTTCTGGGTTAATCAACCACATTCCGGTGTTTTCACTTGTGTATGTTTAACAGCCACGATAGCTGGCGTGGTTTTCACGTATCAGTTATTGAATTCTGCTGGTGTGAAGGTGGAACCACAATGAGTTGTCTAAATATGTAGAAATACAAAAAAAATGGAAATGGGTACAACCAGAAAGTGTTGACGGTCCAGGAAGCACATTATCATGCAGCGACCCCCACCTGAAAATACAGACCTCACTCATCCTGATTAACAAGGAGCGCACTTTACACTGTGACTTTAAAGGCCTGCAATGATATTTAGTGATAATTTACCTTTTCTGCTGAACTCTGAAGGTATATTTGTTCTTTAACAGCTTTAGATATATTGTACTAAAACAGTCTGTTTTAGCGACATAACAGCTCTTGCTTGTGGGGCAAAAAAGAATTTACGTAGCGCTTATTCCCTCTTTTGTTAGGGCAATAAATCATTCATGTCACAACTTCCACTAAAGCATGACGTGAACTCTGATCCTTTCCTCATAAAACACTTCAAGCTTTACCGTGAGCACATCTCAAGCTTAAAAAAAACAAACACTGAAAATGTTGAAGCCGAGTAGCCATGTCTCTTGCTGCTCACGGTCTGAAGTTGTAGCAACCTGAATACTGAGTTAGTCCATCAGTGTCAGCTAAAATATTGAGACACGTAAACTTGAATAAATGTGAAAGCGTCTTTAGTGTGGAAAAGTGTGAGGCTCTATATTTTAAGTGCTTTGAAATGTGCTCTCTATCCATCAAACACATTAATAACAAGCTGCCATAATTAACTTAATGTCTTAACATCCAGGGCACAGCTTTAGCCACACCTGACTGTTTGGAATCCTTGCAGATTTATCGCTTACTAAGCAGTTCAGTAATCTTTATATCTATCGGCAGTATTCTTAAGTGTGCCTGGATACGGTTGAATTGCAGAGGGATCTTTCTAGTGAGTGGCAGCCATGGGAATAGATTAGAAACACCTGAACCATGATTGATAGGTATGTGCTTTGACGCCACACGGGTTTCCCTTCATACCAATTCATGAAAAGGATCTTCACACACGACAGAAGACACAGGGCAGACTATATGAAATAAAATGCCATTTTATTGTTCAGCCGTGTCATAACCTCGTCTCCAAAATAAGCACAGCAGGACTACAACTGGTTCATCAACCTAGCTACCCTTGATAGCACATAAAACTGGGTTTTATTAAACCACCAATGATAGCGTTAAAGACTTTTCTATCAGACATCCAATGATAGCATACAAAATAGTTGTTAACCTACGAGTGATACTGTATATAAAACACTTGTCTCTAGATTTATCCCCAACCCACCCGCAATTTCACCCGTCTCCCTCTTTAGAACATTTGTGACACTGACATTTTATGCTTAAACAAGCACATATTAAGAATGCATAATTCTCCATTTGAGATTATAAAAAAAAAAAAAAAAAAAACTACAATGTTACACTTTAAGTCAGAGTACATTTCAACTGATAAGTAGTGTTCTACACATTCGTCCATTAACATAATATCACTATAACTTAACACTACATGTAATATACGTTTAAAAAAAAATTACAAATGATTAGCATTGAAGAGAAAATGAAGATGGCTAGTGTGAAGGCAAGCTGGGTCAGTACCGTAACAGAATGAGTAATACAAAAAGAAATTAAAAAAAACAGAATAAGAAAAAACTGATATCGCAGGCAAGGCTAAAACAAACTTAAGATCTATCTCATATGCACTCATTCATAAAGGTTACCTGCTCCATTGTGTGATTTCAATCTACATTAACCCATTCTTCACCCCTCTTCAACTTGCTTTAACATTCCAATGGAAACAATCTTATTTTTTTGGTGTGGCACTTTCCATGAACTCTTATCCTTCTCTTTACCTTCAACCACTCTACAGGCCAATCATAATGCTGCTTCAGACAATACAAGCCAATCACAATGGAGGTTCTATCCGAATACAACTGGAAAAGAGCACAGGAGTGTTTGCGATTAGTGTATTATGTAAAATATTGCTTCAACGGTCAACTTGGAGGCAACATTTTCTCAGTCAGTCTTACCAATCCTACAGGTCTGTGTCGAACCAGGCCAGCTGGTTGCTGTCCATCAGGTCTTGGGTGTGGCCCAGGTCTGGCAATGGATCGGTGTGGTGGCCCAGGTCAGGTAGAGTGTCAGTGTGGTAGTCGGCGCCTTCCATCATAGGGTCCAAAAGGGAGTCCTGGCCGTAGGCTGCAGGGTAGGCCCGGTAGCCGCCGTCTGGAAAGACGAGAAATACAAATTAAAAAAACCCGAACATGTTGAATTGGTGAAGATATTTTCCTGATCAGCCACAATTGCTGCGTGGCACCAGTGATTAATAACTTGTGGGTTGAAAGAGACTAAAGCTGGTGTGCCAAAAGACAATCACCCTGTAGGGGAAACAATGATACAAGATAATGCAGCTACTTACCGTCCTGCCTGTAAGCCAGGGGGTCTCCCTGACCTCCCATATCCAGCCCCAGATCTCCAGTCTAAGAGGGACACATTTTTTAAATGTCAATTTTTACAAAATGTATGCAGTGTTTTTCTATAACATAGAAATTGTTCAGTGTACATATCAATCTCAGATATGCTTACATTTTAGGTGACTATTTTGTACCAGACCATCACTTGAGATCGTGTGCGGGGTTTTTAAATAACATGTGTGTACCTCGTTCCAGGCCATGGGCTCAGTTCTGAACAAAGAGCTGGTCAGCTCCACTGACAGACGTTTCTTGTAGTCCTGGGGCTTGTCCTCAGACATGCGGAACAGCACCGCGGCAGCGTAGGTTGCTAACGGAGACACACAGCAAAACAAACCACGTACGCTTTTTATACAGCGCTACACAGACAATCAAAAACGCGTGCGCGGTGTGTATTTGAGCACGTGTACTCACCGACGCCCTCGTTGCGGGAGTGCAGCAGCTCAGTGAGTGGTGCGGTCGCTCCTTCAGCCTCAATTGCTTCTGCGGCTTCCTTGTCTTGTGCCAGCTCACACAGCACACCTGCTGCCACACGCTGGATGTTCTCCACTGGAGAATACAGCAACTAGAGACGACCAATAGCAGAGAGAAAGATCAGACGGCTGAGAAAGAGCAGAAGTTGAAGATGCATGCAGTTGAAAAATACCCAGGAGGCGGGGAAAAGAGGAACTGCAGTTGCTAAGTAACTGATTTGGGACAGTGAGACAGGGCTCTATGTTTTACCTGGACAAAGAGTGGAATGGTGTTGAGCCCTCTGATGACAATTCTGTTGTGGACATCCCGGGCCAGGATGTGCAGAGCGCCTGTGCAGCCTTCCACTATTTCCTCCATACGTACACCCTCCTGTGGGAACAACGAAGGTCAAGTACGTGGAAAGCCCAAATGCACAAATAAACCCTAAAAAAGGGTTGTTGTCTCAGTTACACACCACAAACTGCTGCTGGTTGCCTCCCATGCTGGTGCGCCTCTGGGTGTCCTGGTGAGCCCTGACGAGCAGTTGGACCAGACGGGGGATGGCTCCCTGCTCCCGCAGCGCGCTGTGGTTGGCTGGGCAAAGAGCCAGGTTGCGGATAAGACCAACTGTAGCCTAAATAGGGGGAAAGGTAAATGCATTTTAGTTAGATGGAATTAAATGAAGTCAATCAATGATGTCGGGTGTTTATTTGGGAGGTGCAGATAAAGGGAGATGGACCTTGATTAGTGGCCAGTGGGATGGAGGGTGCAGCAGTTTGACCACCACAGGGAGGCCATAATGAAGACGCACAGCATTCTGGGCCATCTCGGCGTCCTGATGGCGAGAGGTCAGGTGACGCAGGGCACAGACGGCGGGCTCTGTGATGTCTTCTCGGTCGCCGGCCCTCAGCACGGTTCGCACCAAAGCCTCAATACCGCCAACCTATCAGGTCATAGGACCGAACAGTGGATTGCATGTTGTTATTATAAAACATCACATAGCAGACAATGAATAGTTATGGCCAAATGTTGTGTGTGTGTGTGATACGCACCTGGCAGACCATGAGTTTGTTACTATAGTTGTTGCAAGTGAGGTTGGAGAGGATGCCTGCAGCACATGTCACTACATTGATATCGTCACTGCCCAGCAGCTGGACCAGGGTGCCCAGAAGACCCTCCATTCCCTCCTAGAAGTTGTGTTAAGAAAACAAATGAGGTGGGGTTAAAAGGTTCCTGTCATTCTGTACATTCTCACATACATACTGAATGCACTCTGGTCGGTTTCTCTAAACTATCACAGCTCATCAGAAGTCAGCGTTTCTCACTACACAGTGTGACGTACCTGTTTGGTGGCAGCATCGGAAAGATTCCTCAGTGTCCAGAGGCAGTTCTGGACCAGACGCTGGCTGGGGTCTGTCAGGTGAAGCCCCAAGGCCTGCATGCCTCCTGCGCACACAGGAGAACAAAAGAACGCACAGCATCAGGGAAGTTGCATCATAGTATCAAACTAAAACTAGAGAAAGTATTTTTCTAGTTTTTCTAGGAATTTTTCACTGCATTCTCGTCAATTTTTGTACACACCAGCCTCGACGATAGCAGGTTTGTTGCTGGAGCAAACAGAGAGCACCTTGAGCACTCTGCTTGTGGTCCACAGCAGTTTCTCATATGT